TACGCAAGTCCAGGGTGTACAGGGAGACCTCTAGACGCAAACCGGGGACCTTCCCATGTGGCTTCAGCATCACAAGTGTCACGTACCACTGTGCCACTGAGGCCAGCCTGTTTGTTTTTTGGTTTGTTTCTAAATAATTAATTATTTATTTAATTTCATTTGCTATTATCCTGTTTTAATTTGACCAAAGAGAGAGAAAGGGAAAGTGAGAAAGCAAGCTGCCAGGTCTAGGACTTGAACTGTGGTCAGCCATGTGGGAGTCCAGCACCTTAACCACCATGCCACCTGCTGGCCCTTGGTTTTTTGTTTTAATTAAAGTAAAAATGCTGTTGGTGGTCAAGGAGAACCATTTGAGGACAAATTAAGGAAGGCTTCCTGGAGGGAGTGTATCTGAGCCTAAAGGACTCCGAGATGAGGAAAGGGAGGAAAGGAGGACGAATCCTACAACAGGGTGAGATGGGAACACCTAGGGGTTGAGACTGGATTCCCAGGCCAGAGTTTGCAACTGAGCAAAAGGGGCCTAGAGAACCACAGAGCCAAACCCAGTACTAGGGCTTGCTAAAATAGCGAGAGGAAAGAGGCCCACTGTCGTGTTTCGTTTGGCCCACACGTCTGGTGTTTTGTTTTTGCAATTTGGTTTAGTTGCCAACATTTAAAATGTGCTCTCCTATTGCGCATGTGGTCCAGAGGCCAGTGCTCACTGGGTGGGCAGCCTCGAAAGCCACTCCTTCCCCCCACAGGTTTCTGGGGAGCTGGGGCAAAGGCCAGTGGTGGCGGCCCCTCTGTGAAAACCTGCCCCATTGAGGGGCCAGTCAGGCATTCGGGCCACCTGTCTTAGTGGCCTGTTTGCAGAAAACTCTGGACAAAGCAGGCCTTCGGTGACTCACCTCCATTTCCGGCCTTAGTCATTCACCCCCCCCTTTCCTCCCACCATGGCACTGACTGGCTGAGCTAGGGTGGCCTCAGCTGCAGAGTTTAGTTGTCATGGCAATGAGGGGACCCCTTTCCCACGCTGTTTCTGGGGATGAAAGAATTTGGAAGTTGCCCGGATGCAGGGGACAGGGGTGGAAAGTCTGGTACGTCCCCGGGCCTGACACATGCCATGTACACTAAGTTCTATGTCTGGAGAGGGGGCTTTACCTCCCCTTCCTGACCTGGGGCCCCAGGCTGGCCACAGCAGAGGCCACAGCCTCCTAAGGGGGGTCTTCCCACTCTCGAGACTCAGATTCTCCATCATGGTCACCCTGAGAGTCATGAGGTGACAGATGCCCAAGCCTCCTACACTTGCCAGAGGGCAACGTGGCGTGGGGGTCGTGTTGGAAACCTCTCCCAGGGGATCCCAGTGCACAGCCAGGGCTGTGAAGCCCTGACCCACGAGGCTCTGCCCTGAGCTCAGGACAGATGGGCCAGGGCTGGGATGGAGTGCACTTAGTGACCTGCGTATTCACCTGCCTCTGCTGTCAACAGACTCGAGCTGTGAGCCTGAGTCTGGGCCGAGTGAAGAGGGGAGAAGACCTCAGTCTGCCCTTAGGTTTACTAAAGTCCCCTGAAATTACAATATAAGGAGGTTTGTGGGGTTTTTTTTCTTCTTTTTCCCTTTCTTCTTCTTCTTCTTTCTTTTGCCTCTTTTTTCCCAAGCCACCAGGTCTGGGATTCAAACCACAGTTGGCCATATGGGAATCCAGTGCCTTAACCACCATGCTACTTGCTGGCCCCTTTTGTTCCCTTTTCTCAAGTTTATTTCTTCTATAAGAAGGAGAGGCAGGAGAGAGAGAGAGAGACAAGCATCCCCCAGCAGGGCCTTCATTCCACAGTCCACCTTCCAGCCCCAGCCGGCCAGGATCACCAGCCTGTACGCAAGTCCAGCGTGTACAGGGAGACCTCTAGACGCAAACCGGGGACCTTCCCATGTGGCTTCAGCATCACAAGTGTCACGTACCACTGTGCCACTGAGGCCAGCCTGTTTGTTTTTTGGTTTGTTTCTAAATAATTAATTATTTATTTAATTTCATTTGCTATTATCCTGTTTTAATTTGACCAAAGAGAGAGAAAGGGAAAGTGAGAAAGCAAGCTGCCAGGTCTAGGACTTGAACTGTGGTCAGCCATGTGGGAGTCCAGCACCTTAACCACCATGCCACCTGCTGGCCCTTGGTTTTTTGTTTTAATTAAAGTAAAAATGCTGTTGGTGGTCAAGGAGAACCATTTGAGGACAAATTAAGGAAGGCTTCCTGGAGGGAGTGTATCTGAGCCTAAAGGACTCCGAGATGAGGAAAGGGAGGAAAGGAGGACGAATCCTACAACAGGGTGAGATGGGAACACCTAGGGGTTGAGACTGGATTCCCAGGCCAGAGTTTGCAACTGAGCAAAAGGGGCCTAGAGAACCACAGAGCCAAACCCAGTACTAGGGCTTGCTAAAATAGCGAGAGGAAAGAGGCCCACTGTCGTGTTTCGTTTGGCCCACACGTCTGGTGTTTTGTTTTTGCAATTTGGTTTAGTTGCCAACATTTAAAACTCTGGAGGCTTCAGATACGGGTCCAGATTCCGGTTCTCTGGAAACTCTGGGCTCCTCTCTATTTCTGGCTGTCCCCCTCCTTCCAAAGGGCGTGGACTCTCCAGTTTGCCCGCTTCCCACCTCTCCTATTGTCCTCGGCCTGTAAACCTTTGGCCTCTCTATTCCCCCCCCCCCAGTGTATTTTTTCTCTCATGAGAGAGACGCCCACACACGAGTACCCTTGACAGGGTCCTATCGTGCTGTGACCCCCTCGCCCTTCAGCCAGTCGAGGTCGTGGAGTACCGTGTGCTCAGGCCAACTGGGATCGGAACCCCTGGCTCCCTCATGCTCCCGCAACAGGCGGCGGCGTCCCAGCACCTGCACCACCACCGCTGGGCCAAACCTTTGGATGCCTGCTGAGGCATCCCTGATTCCCGCAGAGCCTGGCACCACTGGCGCTGGGAACACGTGGTGCCCAGGGAGGGCCCGTTGCCGGCGGCAGAAGCTCCTGCATTCTGGACTTTGCAGCAGTGTTATCGTGGTCTCTGTTTTACAGATGGAAAACATGAGGCCTAGAGCAGTCACGGGTAGTGCCACCAGGACCATGTCCCTGGAAAGTGACTCCCTAAGCCGCTGAGTTCAAGTTTCTTCCCGGGCATGCTGGTGGCATAGTGGTTAAGGCAGCTGGAACTCACATAGCTGACTGTGTGGGTCGTGTCCCAGATCTGGTGGCTTGAAAAACACGCCAGGAGCATGGCCATGTGCGCCCAAAATTCCAAAAGGAAACAGAGCTGGAGAAAGGATTGCAGCGTGACCATCCCCTGCAGGGGGTGCTCTTTCCCTCTCCTTTTCTCTCTGGCTCGTGACTGCACCCTTTGGCAAATAAAAGAGAGAGAGAGAGAGAAAGAAAGAAAGGAGGGAGGGAGGGAAGAACTCTTTCCTATCTCCCACTGTCCAGGTTGGGATCAGGGAACTTGGAGAGGGACCCAGAAGCTGCGGAAGAGCCAGATATTACAGTGGCAGAGACCACAGGTCTGGAGCCAGACTCCAGAGCTAGAAGCTCGCCTGCCACTCCTGGCTGTGGCATCCCACCTCCTCCTGTGTTAATAAATGAGTGGGGCTTGCACGCTTTGTTGAGGAAGGTGGACGCTATGGCTGGAGAGTGCACTGGGCTGGGGAGTCACATGGTGTGACCGTGGCTGGACAGAAGGGAGCACCAAATGCCACAGGAGACCATCACTTCAGCA